CGACTGTTACACTGTTCTTTTCCAATTATTGTGCAAAGAGCGTTAGTTGTAATTGCTAACTGTCACAGTAAAACATGCGCGTGTACCAAGATACCATTAAAGACAGCTGTAATATCTGATTGTTCGGAAAGTAATTGCGTTATTTTACGATGAAAATAAGAAACGATTTTCATATAGTGAAGAAATATTTTATTAAAATATATATTCTCCATTCTGATCCAATACCTTTTGCCATCGTTCTGGCAGTAGCATGATTCCATGCTCATAAAATTGCTTTTCTTTGCTAAAGGTAAAGGTTTTACCGTGTAAAATTTTTTGGTAGAGACGGGAACAAATAATAAACAGAAGTACCAGATCTGGGGAATACGGTGGGTGGGGTAGTACATCCCATCCAAGTTGTAAAAGCTTTTGGTGAGTTAAAGTTATATGAAGTCTCGCATTATCTTGGTGGAACACTACACCTCTTCTGTTGACCAATTCTGGCCTTTCCTGTTTAAGTGAAACATTCAACTTGTTCAGCTGATGACAGTACAGTTCAGAATTGGTCGTTGTGTTGTCTTGTAGAAGCTCAAAAAGCGATTCCTTTGAAATCTTAACAAACAGATAGCATCGCCTTGATTGATGAATATTGGCTTTCAAGTGGTTTGAGCCGGGTTATCTTGTTTACTCCGTGATCTATTGTGTTGAACATTGTTGTAGACAACCCACTTCTCGTCCGCAGTGAAGATGCACTTTAAAATTGAATCACTTTTTACGCTTGAGAAGTAAATCACAGACGTCAACGCGACGGTGAAAATGCATGTCCGTAAGAACATGAAAAATCCATATGTCGAGCTTTAACCTAGGCCTTTTAAATGATGAACGATTGGAGTACGTAAATTTACTCTCAGTGATCTCACGAGCTGTCGTTCGCCAGTTCGTACAAGTAATGTAAAATAATTAAATAATCGATACAAATAATTAAATGAGCAACGCAATTAATTAATTATTTAATGCCGGATCGAAATTTTGCAAACCAGTTGTAGCAATGGCGGTCTGTCAATCCATCTCCTCCACACATATCCGATAATCTTTTTCATGCTTGAACAGCATTTTTACCTTTTCGATAGTAAGAAAGTAAAGTATACTGAAAAGGATGTTTTTCACTCGATATATGAAAGGGCGCCGAACAAAAAATACTGCGTGGAAGCACTCGAACTTTTTCACAAGCAAGTCTTGCTATATCAAGTGCCAAAATATAAAAAAGCGGCCTAAGTGTGATTGGCTGTGAAAATATACAATCTAATCGTGTGTTGGGGAAAATTCCGAACAACCAGATATGTAATTAATTTTTCGCCCCTTCAAACCAGTGTTTGAGTACCGTCTGTGCTAGAGATCCAGACATACTGGAAGGCATACTGGCGTTAGATAGGAATACAAGTCTGACCCGTTTTAATGAATGACCATTACGAACATGATACAATTAGCTAACATGCATGCCCCCTTACCTATGTTTATTTACTGTATCGTGCTTAACATATCATTATTAACCTGTATCATACATTCATCCCAATATTTCAGACTTGCTAAAGCTGACATAACCACGGCCGTCTTCTCCGCTTGCAAATCGTTTAACGTGTTCACAGCTCTATTTTTCAAACTTCCATTTCCCAAAGACTCGTCCAAATACTGTGGAGAAATATTCCACTACACCTGGCTTCTCGTTTGCGTACTTCTACATGTACATGACGGAACAATCTAGCTCAAACTGCTGCCGACTACAATGCTATGACAGAGTACACCGTACGCAGAGTATATGCAAGCATATGACTGAGAAAATATGCTACATCGCAATATCTCCGCGAACCACAATTCAACATGTGGTTGACACCGTACTTCTTAATGCTCTTACTGAGGCGTTCTTCACGCGTGTTTTTTCAATTTATCTTAATAACCAACAAATTTCCGAAACCTTTGTACAATTTGATAGAACCAACAAACTGAGCTGTCTCGCAAGTCGAGAAAAAATCAAAGTTACTTATTTATTTATTTATAAATCTGAGGAGGATAAAACGGAATGTATGATATTGCTTAAGCGACCACGCGTCAATTTAGAACGCGTATCCATGATGGATATGTGCATCTGTGTTACGAAAATACTCACGGAGCTGGACACAGTGTGCGTGCGCGCACTACGCCAATATCTGATTTGCACGAGAGTGCTTTCTGACATTTGGACAATACTTGATGTAGGAGCTGTGAAATCATACAGACCCGAGGTAGGCGAAATTATGGCTATACCGCAGCCAATTTCATGATGGAAGTATGTTCTAAACAAGACGAGGGTTGTGCACGAAGGCTGTATATCTCATGCTCACCAGTAACCGTGGGAAATAATCTGGAATCATGAAGATAATAGCGGCGGAATAGCTAGCATCGTAAGCATTCAAATCGTCTTCGATATTAAACGTTAAATATGCAGCAACCCACCAGCACAAAAGATGTAAGGTAAGGCGCGCCGGTTGCGGTTCCGGCTAGCCAATAGAAAGGCCGTCACTCCAGTTAGAAAAAATACTGGACCCAAATGTTTGCTGACAGCTGAATCACAGCTGCGTAGCACATGATCCCGTGGATCAGAGGTCACCAGCCGATTAGTTAGGCATAGTCCCTGCATCCGGATGAAATACTTTGCGTGTAAGCGACGTAAACATGTACAGTACCAGAGAAGTGAAATAGTAGGTTAAGAATTGGGAGATATTTCACTAACAAACTTCAAAGCATCAATGCAATTAGGTGAGCAATCAAGCTAAAATTAAACAGACGAAGGCCGATATGGTGGTCAGACTGAAAGATAAAATTCAGGCAAGTGGCTAAGTGAAAGTAAATAGCACAGAACCCGGCCTTAGGAGGTCAACTTGACTTTTACTGAAGTAACGTTCACGAAGATCAGTGGGATGTCCCAGTATGGTGTCAATGAATAGATCGCAGACGACAGAGACGACGCTAATACCATGATGTTTCTCAAAAGACGTCATCTTTAGAAAGGTCTAAAGATGTTAGTGACATCTTACACCTGCCCGTAAAATAATGTTTGTTCAAATAGCGTCGAACAGAGTGGAGAATCGAGTTAGGACGAGCCGTCAGTGTCGTGCAGCAGTGATAGAGGAAGGCAGTCTGACCAAGGCGCTATGCTCCGTTTCAGTGGTAGAACTTTCTGCCGAATATAACCCATGATGTGGGCTGTGAATTGCATGCTTCAGATGTGTTCAGAAGTTAATCAATAATTCGGACAGCTGGATAGATCCTCAAACCGTTCAACCCAGTGAGTGAGAGCAAATCCGTTGTGAATCTTTATCGGTCACTAAAACTCTGAAGTAATTGACCAACACCTTAGAAAAAGGTACTTCGCCGGACGCTAGTCATAGTACGTCAGGAGCGAGCTAAGCTTTCTAGATCGACTGATACTGGGGAGCTGCAGTGGCTGCAGGTTGACGATATTAGCGACAAGCATTGCACGAAAAGATAGATATACTTATTAAAGGCGGATAACAGTATCTTCCTCGGTGTCGTGTAACCCTCCGAGAGTCAGAAGAAAGTTTGGGCAGTGGTTAAAAGCTATTATTTGTGAAACCCAAGGCCGTGTATACTACACTAAAATTCGAAGTGATATATCAGTGCGGTAGATTTCCGCTGATAATCTAACATTGTCGCAACCCGTATCGTCTGCCTACACAAATTAGTCGGTGCGCATCATTCGTCCGCTGTGATCGGCCTAGTGCACGCTTGCCCTGTACGGGACTAAGTTGGGCTATATCCATACCAAGTAGCGTCAAGTTTGCGTTGTCAATCCGGTCTATACAGTCTTGTTCAACTCCAATGAGCGACACTGTGCGTCCGGCCGTTAGCCGAGGTTCTTTAACGGGCTTGTACTGCCCGCTCAGCAGTCTGTCAATACATTTTGCCTTTGTCTGTGGGTGCGAGGTCTTACGCTTGTGCTGGACCGCATTAATTCTGTCGCCACTCTGCGGTCCAGTCAAAGGTGGTCGGCTCCGGTAGTCTGATTTTATTTGCATATCATCCACTGGTGCAGTATTGATTTCGCTCACCCAAACCACAAACTACTATCACAGTTGGCAACTTTGAAGATGGACCACTGCAGTGATTGAAATGTATCCTAGTCAAAACCAATATTAACAGGAGGGTTGAGTGGTAACTGAAGCGACTAGTCAGGACTGGACTCAGAAGCAGTGGGCTGAATTTCGCACCGGATAAATCGTGAGAAGTGGCCGGTCGCTGAACACCGAATGGGCTAGTTGAAAATATCGTTTTCTTAATCGCAAACAATAGTAGCAACTAGTAGAGGGTCCAGTAGAGTGAAATTCCCGGCAAAAATATCCAAATGCAGTGAATCAGGAGTGAGGGGCGAATTCACTCCCTGTAAAGATAGTAAACGTAGGTAAGAGAGACCGCACAGGTGTTCCAAGAGCATACACTCGCTGGCCCGTAGCCCTAAGGATTACAAGCCTGTTTTGTAATCCGAGGGCACGAGTTCGAGCCTGCGTACCGGCCGGGCGACGTTTACAGTATCCTTAGCCCACATGCGACTGGTGGTGGTTGCCCGGCAGTGAAGCGTCGGTACTGCGTCCGGCCGTACTGTGGATGCCTGAGGCAACAAAAGTAGAATCCTGCAGACGCTTCTTGGTGAAGTGGACCGAGAGTGGGACAGGCCGCCAAGCATGCACACATGTAGCCATACTCGAAGGAGCAAATAACAACCGGATACAGTGCAGGGTAAAGCTACAAGGGCTCTCAGATCATGAACATACCACCAATAGGTAACATAATACATGTCGGTTGAAAGGAAAGAAGGAACGAAAAATGAACTGATTCATCCTCTTATAGGAATGCAGCTTTCAGGTGTCACTGGTTGCAGTTCGATCCATAAAGGAGAAATGGAGAGAAGAGAGTAATTACAAGACTCTCTGATGAAATGTAAGACTACGTTCAGTTAGATGACTTACTGCAAGACACTCGCTGCCAAGGTGAGTGTGGTATAACTTGACTGTATCCTTCAGGACACGACTAATGTATGAATCGCTTCGCCACGGTAACTGAGCCAGACCGACAATGAACTGAAAATCGGATGACAAAATAAAAACAGAAGGTTAAGCAAACGAAGCGTCTGTCTGAATACTGAACAAGCAGCAATGGATGAATGACACAATTGTAATGCAACAGGCACAAGGAAAACGAAAGGAAATCTATTTTATGTCGTTAAATATTCGTCCAAGTTGTCGCTATCAATCGAAAACAAGTTAGGTTCACTACGATCGCTCTATCGTGCATTCCGATTCAATATAAATAACTTCTTTCGGAGTGGAGATTCTGATAGATGGCCGAGGACTATAGCGCTTCCCTCACTTTCTGGGTCGATTAAAACGTCACTACGCGAAAGTATCGCTAAAACCGTGATGTGAATTCCGAGAAGTAGTAACATAGCTATTGAAAAAAGCATGGAAATCAGGGAACAGAAATTAAACGAAAAGAAAACGAAATGACTTAACTGTTTTTCACACTTAGATCTTTCTTTTACTGTCACTTTCAATGTTTGAACCATTAAGCATATGAATGGAGACAATAAATAAATTTGAATATTTACCGACAGACGGTACACGGTGAATAGGTTTCATGGTTTTATGCGGCGTAAACCATCACAGTAAAGAAAAGTTAAATAATAAAATTTCGGATCATGATATTTTTTGCTTCGGCTCCTAGACCCATGCACCTAATATGTAAAATTTAAAGACGTTTGTACCATCATTTTCTAGTTTGTGGGGCTCAGGAGTAGATGATAAAAGGGACGGGATACTAGGCTGCACAGACACAGAATTTGGTATTGTAGGTAATGACATGTAGTGGGTAAGCTCGTTGTAAGCGAATATCTGCTCATATGTCTTTCATACCAGCTTCTGTCAATGTTTCTAGAGTTTGCTGTGAGTCAAATATCTTCACCACATTTGGTATAGTGAGGAACGTCTGAAGGAAATTTCGAAATGTGAGATAGCTTGTACTCATGCATATCTGTAGGGGTAGTTTGTTCCACAGATCAGTGTATCTCACTAAGAAAAAATGCGATCGAGCTTCATGACTCGTAAGGTTTGTGCGTATCAAGTAGCCGCCATCACGTGTGGGGTAGACTGCAGTCTTCCGTAGTTCAAGCGCGGTGCTGTCTGCGTGAATTCGTTGGTTTATAATGTTGTAGAAGAGAACGAGGTTGTTCGTTAAGCGTCTCAACCAAAGAGGATCCAGTTGGAGTTTCCGACAGCGATCATATTAAGTCAGCTTTGAGCAGCGCCCCATGACCAGCTTGGTAAATGACCGTTGGCCATTTTCCAGAGCCGTTCTACCTTTCTTTCTCAATTGGCTTTGAACGATAGTACAATATTCCAGAGTCGGTCGTACGATTGTCCTGAATGACTCAAGTCATGCTTCAGATAGCGAGAAAGTTCTGGTGATATAGCCGCATAACTGCCTTGCTTTCGCAACCTGATAAAGTACATGTTCGGAGAAATTGAAAGAGTTGGAGTACCTAATTCCTAAGTCCCGAACTGAATCAGACGTTGGGATTACGTTTTCATCAAGTATGACAGAGCCTTCGGGGATGCGGCATCTGTACCCAAGTACTTGGGATTTCACTGTGGAGAACTTCAGTAATAAACGCTCACTAGCTATATGTAGTGAGGATAGGTCTTCACAGATGTTTCCCAAACATATATGTAGTTGGTCTGGATGAAATGAGTAAACCAGTTTGACGTCATCTGCAAACAGAAATGGGTGTCCATGTTTGATCGGGTCACATATATTGTTTACGTAAATTAGGAAAAGTAGTGGTCCGAGCACACTTCCCTGGAAGACACCGCTGGTTATTTGTTTCGGTGTAGAATGTTGCTGACCGATTTTAACTACCTGAGTTCGACCGTTAAGGTATGAGTCGAACCAGTCAAGCAGGGGATTTACAATTTCATATGACTCTAGAGAAGATAGCAGTGGTCTGTGTAGCATGCGGTCGAACGACTTTTGCATGTCCAACAGAATTATAATAATTGCCATTCCTCTGTCAATCATAGTTGTGACATGATAGAAAAATTGTAGCTGGCATGTAATGCAGGAGCGTTTTGAGAGAAAGCCATGTTGTGAGGGGTTGATCAGATCCAGTCTTGTAAGATATTGTACAATGTTCTTCTTGACTATTCGCTCTAGGGCTTTGGAAGCAGCAGAGGTGTGATTTATTGGGCGGCAGCTTGACACTTTACTTCTCAGGCCACCTTTGTGCTTAGGCATTATAATGGATTGCTTCCATTGAGTTGGAAAGCAGCCGGTAGTGAGAGAAAATGTGAAGATGTTTAATAACAATAGAGCGAGGTTTTATCCTCCGAGTTTTATAACGATTGGGGAGATGCCATCTGGGCCTAGACGAGTTGATGGTTTTATGGATGCGATGGCACATTGCACCTCTCTTAACGTCACAGGGATATTGCAGTATAGTTTCGGTCGTTCTTTTTGGAAGTGGAGCATGAAATGGCCGAGTGTTGAAGACAAAACAGGAGGCAAAACTAGAGTTGATAGCCTCGCATATACAGGAGATGTCTCGCGTTATTGAACCATCGTCTAGAGCCAACATTTCAATTTCCTGAAGTGGGTAGTAGCTGCATCAATGTAAGTACTTTCTCAGGATTTCTGAGTACCCGACTTTCTTCTTTGATTTTGGTTGTTTGGGTCAGACGTTGCAAATGTAGTAAATTCTCGTGTATTTGTAGCAATGTTGCAAAGCTGTTGCTACTGCGATATAGCGATTTGAGTTTCTTTAGTTTGATGTTGGCTGTGTACAGAAGCTTGAGTTCACCACTATGTTCATGGGTACTCCTCCATACAGTAGGTGCTAGTAGATCCACAACAAGGGCAATACTGTTCATAAACTCATTTGTAGCCACAGTAGGGTTGGTAGTTAGGAATGAAGTATTCCAATTCATGGCACTGATAAGTTCGTTAAATGCGTTCAAGTCCATATGATGGAGGTTGCGAATGGGTTTTAGCATTTTACTTGTCATTGAATACAGGTTTATCTGCGGGAATTGCAGTCAGGTTATTTTCAACATATATGGAACAGCCACCACCACGATTGTGTGAGCAATCCTTGCGGAAACGTTTATAGCCTAAGATGTTAAACTGAGAATCACTAATTTCTGACGTGTACCAAGTTTCAGTGATAAAAGTAATATCGGGGGATCTCATAAACAAATGTGTTGTAAGTAGATCTAATTTAAGTAAAAGGGAACGAATATTAATGACGACAGATTTGAAAGACATTTTTAAATTGGAATGGAAGTGGTGGGTAATGTTTGTTTCTTCGTCATTGTATCTGCGAACTGTGCGTTGTCAGATAGTTGAGGCACACTGAGCTCTAGATCGTACTGAATTGAATGAAATGCATACTCCGATAGTTTGATTATTCTCTGATTCATAGTCGCACGTGGTAGGGGCTGGACTGGTGGGGGAGGAAGTGGCGGTGTACGATAGTCTAAAAAAGGACTTACATCCGTAGTATACAGGGGTGGGGGGATGCTGAAGTCTACAAAATCGTTTTTCTTCGGATTGTATTGTTACCAATTGAGTAATACATCAAGGGTGGTGGGTAAATTTTGACTTGAGTAAGTCCGTGTGGCCTACCGCCATTTTGTTTGCTATTTCGGTGTCGCACACATAAGGGCTTTGCCAACTTGACGTCGCGGGATTTGGAAACGTAGTCAGAGACATTGTGGGTAAGTATTGGGCCGGCTCTACGCGACTTGTCCCGACAACAGTGTCGGTGTTACATGTAGAAGCTTGAGGACGTACACTTTTTCTCAGTTGGCCTAACTGCATATCTTTACGTTCTTGTAGTGGTCGCTTCAGACATACTGAGCTTTGAGTGCTTATGGGAGAAATTCTGGCAGGGTGTTTTCCCCTGTTTTTGCCTACGCCTCGGTTGGTCGGAGATAACCTATAGCTTACTTCATTCGGGTCGGATTTAGATTTGTTTTTCGTGATGCCAACGTGAGGATCTGTTTTTGTCTCGCTCTTGATAAGTCTCAGGTACAGTTACTATCAACTTTTGTAAAGGCTCGCAGTTTGGAGAAGGGACAAAGGAGTTCAGTGTGGTCAGCAAGTGTCTGCATCGTTATGTTTTCAGCTTGGTTGGTAGTTTTAGTTATGGACACATCACTACTGCTGTTTGAGATTCTTTCATGAGGCCGCTGAAGACTGAGATGCTCGTCACCGCCTATTTTAGACGACGTGGTTGACATATCAAGGTCGACATTGCTGCTGACAACGTCAGTACTGGCTTCATTAGTAGGAACATGGGCTGTATGATGAGCGGAGCGGTTTTGTTTCATTGTTAATCGCCTTTGAAGAGGCGTTTGATCGTGTTTGATGATAATGTTTTTAAAATTAGTTTGTGCAACAACTAGCCTTTTACTGCGTAGAAATTTGGATGCGCTCCTATCGTCTGGAAACTGTAGGAGTATCGGACATGTGGTCATGTTTTTCTTTTTCCTCAGCCTGAGGCATTGACAGGAGACTCCATCCAAATTGCATGCTTTTAAGAGAGCATGTGTTACTCTGTCGATGTTCGGTTTATCAGGCAGGTTAAAAATGATAACATTATGCGATCTACGGCGGCGTGCTTGCGTTTCGGATGTAATCGAGTCTAGCAAGGAAGCAGCTGTGCTCAATCGGTCTAGTTTAACAGTTGCTGAACCTCAAAGCAGTTCGCAGAATGATAGGACTTGTTCATATTATGTTCTGAATTTATGAAGTTTGCATTTCAGCATGGCTACTCCTTCCTCAAGGGCTATAATCCGGTCTGTCGTTTCAGTCGGAATTGTGGTAGTAAAGTTGGAGTGGTTTGCAGCTACATCCACTTTTTTGGAATTTAGATGATGGACGTCCCCGTTTTACAGTAATATCGGATGGGTTTCTAGCAGTGCTATCAGAGGGTTTTATAGTCTTTTCTGTTTCCAACTTCAGCCTAAGGAGGGAGATTCTCGTTTTCACATTGTTAACAGTTATTTTTAGTGGGTACTCGGAAGAA